TCTCTTTTATGTAAGTGCGCGTGTCATGAGCCTATTTGCCATTTACCCACATAAAAATATTTCGAAGGCATATATATTTTCTGTTATTTTATATATGTGTGTGCGGTGTTCCACGCGCACACCACACACATAGGTTGATTTTTATATGTGAAGAAGGTTAAAGATTTGATTTTTATATGCAGATTGCATCTCCTTGTATTTTCTGGACTGAATTCTCAGATGGGCTCTGGCTATTTACCTCTGGTTAGTGATTTTGCAGCTTTCAATGCCTGGGTTTCTGTTTCTGCCTTTCCATTTTTCATATATATATATATATATATATATATATATATATATATATATATATATATATATATATATATATATATATATATATATATATATATATATATTAGGACTGGGAGTGAGTTGGTTTTTATCTACCAACCGACTCATTACCGACCATATTTTTAGGCGGATAATCAATTTTTAACCGACCCATTGGATCGGGTCGAAAATTTCAACCAACCCATCTATAATGGGTCGGTTGGTGGTTTCTAATATTATGAAAAATTGGTTAACCGATAATTATCGGTCATCCAACTATACTATTAAAATTTTATTAAAAATATAAAATAAAGGCCGTGTTTTCTTAAGTGGTTATTCAAATTATCAAAATAATTAATTTTTAAAATTTTAACAATAAATGAAGGAAAATATTTTGACCTAAATCTTCAAGGAGTTTCTTCATGCCCAAACTTAAACAAAAAGTCGACAAAACTCCACTAAATCTATTGTGAATGTTTTAAATTACTTTGAATTTTCTAATTATATTTTTTCGTTAAATTGTTATTAATTATTTTGAACTGATAAATGATGATTACACCGTGGCATTACGCAGAATGTTGATATTTTACTCCAAAATTTGAATTTTTTTAAAGTAAACTAGGTGGCGGGTATAAACCATCAACCGACCCATTCCGAAACCAAATATTCGGTTGTCAGCCATCAACCGACCGGCCACCAAATTTGGGTCGGCAATGATTTTCAAATTTGAGCAAAAATGGTTTGACAGATGGGTCGGTTTTTAGGCTGGTAATCGACCGACCCAACCCAGTCCCAGCCCCAAATATATATACATGTATATGTATATGTTGGTCTTACATTTTTAGTGCATTCTTGATCGTGGTCTTGAATTTGATCAGGGTTTTGTCGGATTGGTAGATTTGTAGTTAGATTTCTTGATTCTGTGTTACTTTTTTTCTTTCTCTAGGGTGGGTTATTTACCCTTATTTTTTTGAAGCATAATTTTTTTAATTTGCGTGTGGAATTCCGAAAATATAATTTTCTACATAAATATTGCTCATTTTTTTTTTAGAAAGAGAAAATATTATTAGGCAAATCTTGCCAAACTTTGAGGAAGAAATGTTCCCTCAGTACATGAGTTGCCATGCACCTTAGCAATAGCATTTGCAAGACAATTTCCAGAGCGTTCAATAAATTCGAAAGAAATACTACTAAAAGAAGGAATGAGAAAAAAATATTCTTCAATCAATGCCCCGAACGTAGCTGTGGTTGGAGTACCGTCACGTAAAGCTTCTATAACTTGGAGACAATCTCCCTAAAAAATAATTGAATGTACCCGTCGGCGGTGGTTCCCATTTTGTCGGATGCTTCGCTGGTTTGGGTATAGGGGTTTTGGCAGTAGCTTGATTATATAGCGAGAGAAACGTTGTACCTCACGCAATGAGATCGTCTGTTGCTATCGTCTCCTCACCATGAATCTCCTTGTTCCTATTTTCCCATGCCTTCCACACTACAACGATGGCTAAAACAAGAGTTTCCTGTGGAAGAGAGCAAGCATTATCCGCTCCAACCATGATTCAAAATTCTGAACTTGGGATGTGCTTAGACTAGCAAAAGGTTGCTTCAGCCACAATTCATTCATACCTCGACACTCGTGGATAATAGTCACCGCTATATTAACCCTCTTCAATTCTCCAAACCCACACCGCACCTAGGGGTGCAAGTTGGAATGAAATTTCCAGTTTCCGCCGATTTCGATCAAAAAAGTTCCGATTTTGGAACAACTTTTTTCATTCCGACTTCCGAGTTTCTAATTTCCGAATTTTTTCGATTTTTTTGGATTGGAATTGGAATTATATCAAATAAATTTGAAATTTTCGATTTCCGATCCGATTTAGTTCCGAAATTAATTCCAAAAAATTCCCATTTTTTTTTGAAAAATACACTTATAAATAATATATATATCATATAATACTTATTTTTTGCGACAAATACACCTATAAGTTTTGTTTTAGGATTTTGACATAATGAATTGTTGTTATAAGTTTTATTGGATATTTTGATGTGTTCATTTTTATTTATTTTTTTGAACTGAAATTTAATAGTTATTAGTTTTACTTTTATCGACGTGGATGTTCTAATTTTTGAAAAATTGTAAACATTTTAGAAAATTTCGGCTAAGTTTTGAAATTTTAAAGCTTATGTGATTTCCGATTTTTTTCCGAAATTTTGAAATTTCCGGGCCTATTGGAATTTGAATGAATTTTTAGATTCCGAAAATTTTGGAATTGGAATTGATTTTGTACTTCCGAAATTTTTTAGAATTTTTTCGAAAAGGCTAATTCCGATCCGATCCATCCAACTTTCACCCCTAGCCGCACCTAGGGGTGGAAATCGGGACGAAATTTCCGATTTCCGCCAAATCCGATCCGATTTTTTCCGAGTTTGGAACGAATTTTTGTAGTCCGAATTCCGAAATTCCGATTTCCAATTTTTTCCGAAAAAATTGGATCGGAATCGGAATTGTTTATGAATTATTCGGAATTTCCGAATTCCGATCCGAAAATAATTCCGAAATTTCCGATAATATTTCCAAATTTTCCGGAATTTATTAATATTTCTTCATTACTAATTTATTATACTGTTTCTAGTTAGGCTTTAAAAAACCCACTTTAGCAAGGCAGCCCACTTTAGCAAACTGATGTCTCCAAATATTGAATATGCAGAATTTTAGGGACTAAACAGTAAATACTACAAACTTATAATAAAACCATAATTTCTTCCCTCTTCGTGAGCCGCTCACATCTCCCTCCTCTGAACTTTTTTTTTTCTTTTGTTCTTTCCGCCAACTCTTCTTCTCTACCATATGAGTCATAACAAAACAGAGGTTGGAATTGCTGCAAAATACCACAATCCTTTTTCTCTCAAGATGGCCGGAATTGCTGCCAAAAGCTATCGTTATTCTCTATAAATCTCCGCCGTGGCCGTTGCTTTTCTTCGGTGCTTCAGTCGCCGGGCATAGTCAACACGTTTCCGAAAATTTCAAAATTCCGATTTTTTTTATTTTTCTGAATCGGAATCGGAACGACCTTTTGTATTCCGAAATTTTCGGAATCGGAAGTGATTTGAAAAAAACCGGAAATTTTCGGAAGGGGTGGATTTTTTTCACTTTCGTTTATTAGCTAGAGAAAAAGGCGATTTTACCCCCGTTACCCTGACCCTAGGTTGCTGCTGTTTGCGGTGGTGAGTGCACTTTCGTCTCCGTCGTAATTTTTCCCCTTTCAATTTATTCAATTTATTTTTTGTTTGGATTATCGATGTTTTTGTAATCCGATTCTCTGGTTTGCTGAAGATTTTCGTCATGAAATGAGCTAAATCGAAGGCTGATTCCAGGAAGGCCGACAACAGGTTAGGCCTGTTGATTGATCTGTATAATTATACTGAGTTTATTTTGGCTGTATTTTGAATTTTTTGCTGGTTTCTAGCTTTGGTTTGGTAATTAAAATTGTTGGTTAATGCTTCAAGTAATTCAGTCTCAGATCAGATCCACTCGTAATGCCTATTTATTTTTATTTTTTCCTAAATAAAATTTAGCACGAGATTCATTTTTTTTCTTCTCTCTGATGGATCTGAAATCAAGTCAACCTGTAGATGCTACAATGGATTTTGTATTAGTGTTATCCAGTTTTTTTGGGATATATTGGTGTGATATTTAATTTTATGGTTTTCTATGGTTTCAGTTTCTTCGTTTTGTATGGACTTAGTTTGATGGAGCTTATAAGTTAACCATTAGTTTTCTGGCAATAGTAGGCTTGCTGTCAAGAAGCAAACAAAGAAGGAGAAGCAAGCAGCAAAGGATCCAAATTCGTGTATGTTAATGTTTCTGTTTTTCAGACATCACCATTTTGTTTATCAGCCTGTCTTATCGTATGCTTTGTTTCATTGCTGATTCTTGTAATTTCTTATATGATCCTATTTGTGGTTGCAGGGAAGACTTTATGAAGCAGTACAAGGAAAACCACCCTACCAACAAATCTGTAGCTGTTGTAAGTATCTCTGTCTGTTAACAATTTTACGAAACACACGTGAAAAAAGACTAAAATACCCTTTACCATTTAGTGAAGCGATCAGAGAGAGCTAATGGTGAATACTGAATAGAGTTTGATTAATAAGGGTAAAATGGTAATAAGTGCATTTAATTCATAATTGGAATTCTAAAGTGATATAATATGTAACAAAAGAAAGTTCTAAAGCCACATATAATATGGACAATATACCAAACCTTCTAGAAGAAGTGTGTGAAGAGACTGCAATCTTCCACTTTCAGCCATTTGTCTTACGTTGTGCCCACACTTTGCAAGATTATCGAGGGTTCGAGCTTCGAAAATCAAAGACAAAAAGAAAACAACAAACAACATTTATTTAGTAAATAAAAATAAAAATCTTGAAAATGGAAGCGTTGACTGAGAGCAGTCTTCGTTATTGAAAGTAGATTGTACGCAGCAGTTGTAGTGTTAGGATAACGTGAAGAAATTTCTTGGTCGTGGGATCTTACTTACTGTATACAACCCTCCAACTGTCAGCCTGGCGGTTTGTTGATCCTAATTATTAATTATAATTAGTAATTAGTTAATAATATATTTAATTCGTGAGATTTAACTTGAGTAAAATTGGCTATTAAATACGTATTTATTTTGTGCACACATGTACGAGGATTTATGTCGGGGTCGTTTCGACCAATGAAGGGTAGTCCAGACATTTTAGATGAATATAGAGGTGATGACGATAAATCGTATATGAAACTAGACAAGGATTTTTACCAGCTAAAATAACTGTTGTATATAAGAAGAATATGTGATATTGTATGGTTTTTATCTTTCAAGTTTGCACCGATTTCATATTTGGTTCCCATATTCACAAAGAAAATACATTTGGTCCCGTATGTTTTAAAAATTCAACATTTTTAGTCATTTCCGTCAATCTCCCGTTAAAACTAACGGAATCAAACATGTGTCTATCACTACATTAACTAAGGGACTAACGGTAAGTTGACAGAAATGACCAAAAATATTAAATTGTTGGAAAATGAGGGACCAAATATATTTATTTTAACATGGAGGACCAAATGTGAAATCGGTGCAAACTTGAGGGGTGAAAATTGTAATTTCTCAGAAATTGTATTATCCAAAAAAATTATCCCCAAAATTATTACCGTCTGAAAATGAAAAAATGCTTTCTAGTTCTAATGAAAGCGTTCGAGAAACTTTCAAATGGTTGAAACAGCGCTTTCTGCGTCTGTGTTCTCTGTGTTCTTCTTCTGCGATTCATTGACGAACTCTACAGATTCGAAATTAATTTTGTCAAGAGGAAAAAAAATGCAGACCTCTGAGGATGGGAATCAATCAAGTAATGAAATCGCGGGAGCTGATCAGAATATACTGAATTTATTGGACTACATGGATAATTACCTAATCCTCGTCGATTCAGTATCTTCATCTGTTCGCCAGGTAAACGGTAATTTGATTTTCGCAAATTGCAAATTTTCCAGTCGTTTTTTTATTGTAATAGATGGAATCTTCGATTTATTGCGTTAGAATTGATTATTCCAAAATATGAGGGTTTGATTGAAGGAAAAAAAATAGTATGTACTACTGTTTGTTATGATATGAATGTCTGTAGCAGATTAAATCATGGATTATGAGTATTAACCATAGAATTGGATAATTGTGCTTGATCTAATTGCTTGCTTATAATAAGTCTCATGTATGTTTGATCTTGATTTTCTGGCATTTGCAGGGATGGCTGGAGTTAGCCAGTGCTCGATATTCGATGGGTGCTTCTCGAGTCAACAGCTCTTTGTTTGACCTCAAATCTCACTATGCTTCAACTACATTGCAAGTAGACAATGGTACTTCTTTAATTGGAAATTATGAAAAAAAAAAAATCTATTTTAAAATATTCCCATCGTATCGAAACTTAGGATATATGGTGTTTTTATGAAATACTTTGAAGCCTTGAGTTTATCTAACACTTCGTAGAATATGCAGTAATAGTGTTTAATTAGCCATGCGTCCGTAAATCATTTTCGTGTTTATATTTCCAGGTGGTACCGATACGGAGCTACCATGCTTCACTCTGTGCAAATGGACGTCGTCTGACGAAGCCAAACTTGAGGAGGATCAGTTGTTGAAGAACAAGTCTGATAGTCTGGGTATATGGCTTTGCTTCTAAATTGATTTTTGTTTGTTTCACAGCTGTTTTATGATTTTGAAATTGTGTTACGGTTGTGTTCTTGGCCGCCGTATACATGTTTTAGAGAGATAAAATGTACGGAACTTCAATTTTTGCATTGCCATTTCTCGGGTTTTTTTTAATATTTTATTTTAGCATCCTTGACATGCATATTAATTTAGTGTTTGTCCTTTTAATTTGTGATGATAAAGGGTCTGAAAAGAGAAAGGCAGAAGAATCGGGATCGCCGGTTACTGCTAATAATCATGTAAGTTAGCCTTCGATTAAATCTTGTCCTATATAGAAGTGCAATAGTAAAGCATAATCAATTTAGTTAAATCTTGAAATAATTTTTTGGCAGGCTGAGAAAGAAAGATTTAAATCCCTCTCTATGTTTGGAACACTCGTCTCTCCTAAGCTTCGTGCAACCCAATCAACATTCGAGACAAGTACGTACTAGGATGATTATTCCTCTTTCTATTCGGCTTGTAATGATATTAGTCGAATGATTATATATAAGTATAATTATTTACTGACTTCCACGTTTTGGCAGCTTTGGAGACGCTGGTAGAAATGTCGAATTTAAGGGCTTCTTTGCTTTGTGCTTACGATCAGGTGCAGAAGGATCGGGAGACCGATTAATAACTGCGATTGACATCTCCTCGTTTTAGTTAAATTATCGAGATTACCTTTTTTCCATTTATTATGTAGTCCCAAATTAAACTACTCTTAACACTTGTACACATGCTTGAAGATTTTTGTCGTTGAGAAGTAAATGTAACACCAACATTTTTGCATGGGAAATGTCCTTAATTCATATCTTGTTGTTTCGCTTACTAAAAACGTAAATCTTCAATTCTTCGAACCCGATACTTTATTGAGAATTGTAAATTGACACACACACAAACAAATTCTCATCAACCAAGAAAACCTAGTTTCTACAAACTCAATCTATGGGTTCGAACAATGCTGCGGCGGTGCAGATACTTCTGCAAGATTTATTTGTGGAGGCGGGATTTTTGCAGAAGCTGGACCATATATAGCTGCCTTTACAATACCAGGTGCCAACTTCGATTGGTTTGAGCCACGATTATAAGCTTAAGAGCATTATAGAATGCAGGGCAGCTGAGAATACCGGCGGAATTATGGTCGGCATGCCTCCATATCTACGTGAAAGAAGAATCAATGTCATTGATTGATGTCATATTTCATCCAATGTCATTAAATTGAATTTACCTGAGCAAGGACCGGTCGGGGCAAATCGACTCCCCGGAAGAAATTAACAGCTTCATCCCCACTTGATTCTGCCATCCCCATCCAAATCAGCCCTTTCGAAATATGCCTCGAATTGTTCCGTAAACTCCCCTCCCATGGTCGCCATTGAATCGGATGCAATGAAATTGTTCGTCGGAAGAAAACGGAATTGGATTGTGGATCGAGAAAATTGGATCACCACTTTTTTTTTCTTCCCTTTAAATTTTTATTATTTGGGTAAATTACGGCTAACCCCCCTGAGGTAAGGTCAACTTATGAAAAACCTGTCTTGTTTGGGTAATTATAATTGGCCCCCTCAACTATGAATCTTCTTACACGTCAACCATCGTGATGTCAAATTTAGTGGAATCTTCTAAACTATGTGAAATATTTTCCAATTTGTACTCGTTTTGTGCGAAAATATAGTTTATGATACTCAACAATCTGATATTTATAAGTTAAGAAATACATCTTATGATTATCTTGTTTCAAAATGTGGAATTTAAATGGGATAAAACGACTACTAATAAGAGAATATTCCACATAAATCTAGAAGATTCCACTAAATTGACACCACAAGGGTAAATATGTAAAAAAAATTGTAAATAAGGGGACTGGTTGTAATAATCCAAACATTTTTTTTTTTCGATCTTACCTGAGGAGGTGGCTTTTAATTTACACTTATTTTTTTGAAGTATAACTTTTTAATTTGTGTGTGGAATTCCGAAAATATAATTTTCTACATAAAATATTGCTCATTTTAATATTTAATAAATCGTAGTGAATATGATAAAAAAAAGATCCATATGAATGACGCGGCGAAAATTCCAGATCGCGCCCAAAGCCGTAAACCCCGCCTATTTAATTGAATTTGTTACACGAACGGTCATTTTTCAATCTTTTCGAACTCATTCCTTACAATAGTCACCGCTATACTTGTTAGACTAGGTGACCGAAGAGCCAACTAATTGTTATGTTTTCTCACGGTACTCGTAAATAATATATTTCATATTAATAATAAAAACCCCCTTTGGCATTCTATATCTTTGTCCCTTGCATAAGCATAGATATAGTCCTTGCAGTTACTTAATTTCTGTAAATAGATCTAGTAGAATCGTGAGATTATTTATTTAAGTATAATAACTGTTAACCATAGTTCCTAGTCAACGGGTTACGCCACTAATGAGGATATCGGCCTTTCTCACTCGAGACTAGCACTTAGTGTATGTGTATTGCATCTCATCAGTCAACGGTGTTGTGACATCGGCATACATAAGTGGGTGCTCATAAGTTGATGAGTTCACTGAACTCCCTCAATGTAGAGATCTCTAAGTGGTTCCCAATAATCGAGTAGAGGTTTCTATGATATAGTTGTACACCATTAATCCTTAAGACCCAGACATCACCATGACTTCACTAGAGGACCAGCTGTATCGTGACCTATCCCTGAGTTCCACCGAGGACCACCCCAAGGGCCAGTGTTCGTGCAATCCGAAATCTAGTGGGAGGTCTGTGCATTGTAGTAGGAGATTCAATCGCTTGAGTAGTCATGGATATCCTGTGTGTTCTTGCGATTTATAATCCATGAAGTCTGTGCCCACAGCTGAAAGTGTCGTGATTAGAAAAATATGTTTCTCTAAGTCAAACACGAACATATTATATAATCAAGAACGTCCACACAGTTATTGAACTCATAAAGAGGTCTCGACGAACCAATGCCTCTAGTTCAATCGGGATATATGTATCGAAGGGGTCGTACTGTACGTTAACTATATCACACGGTTCTTGCAGGCACTTCATTTGTATCTAGGGAATCATGATGCGTAGTTGCTAGACGTCAATCTTGATTCGTTAGGTAGTTAAGTTGAAACTAGCTTCAACTTAATTGTAACTCTAGGGACGAGTTTAAACCACAATGGGTTGTGGGCCCACGGCTAGCTTACATCTGAACCATCGAGGGTCACACTGCTCGTGTACTTGAGATCCTTACTGCAACGATCTAAGATTAATTTGTTAATCTTAGTGTAATTGGAAGTCAATGTGATTGAGTCCAACATTCGTAATTGTTAATTACGGATGAGAATAAGTAGAGGAAAAGAATCCAATGGAAATTTAGTGAACTTTATATTTTGAGAAGTTTCCCAATTTCGTAAGTACTAAATTAGGGTTTCCGATTTCGGAAATCTGTAAATTGGAAAGTGGTACTCGTATCGGCGAGAATTTGTGCTCGTTGTCAAAATATAATTGTTATATTTTTGGGAGCATTTGTTTGTTCGAAACGAGCCGAGAAAGAGAGTGAACTTAAGCTGTTGGGCCTAGCCCAACTTAAGGTCTGTTAGGGTTTTCACAAGGAGCATATAAATAGGATTTATATGTCTTGTGAAAGACACAAAAAAAAAAAAAACGACCGAAACACAAGTTTGAAACCCTAGCTTCTCTCCCCATCGGCCGTCCACCTTGCAGCCGAAACTCTACCTCCGCCACCAGCCGCCGCGCCGCCGCCAGTCGCCGCCGCATCGACAGCTTCCTTTTCCCTCCGTTCTTCTTCGTTGTACTTAGCCTATCACGTATCTAGTGTTGCGTGGATAGTGTATTGAATATACAATGTGAAACCTAAGAGGAGAAAGATTATTATGCCGCCAACGCCGCCACCAGGGTCGTCCCCACGCGCCGCCACAAGCCGGTGATGCGAGAAGGCAATTCTGAAAAACTGCTCTCGGATTTTCTGCGCAGCCCAGCGAGAAAATTCGCCAATAACCAACCGGTGATCGGATGGACGTGAAATTTAGGCAGACGTTTCAAAACTCATGGATCTACAATATGCCAAAGGGAATTGTGCTTCCAATGAATATTCATTGAGATATTGAAGTCGGAGCAGACCTGTAATTTCAGATCACAAAAGAGGTTGGATCAGTAGGATTGGGAAGAGCACCTAGCCATCTTCTCGAGTCTTCGTTCGATTCACGCATCAAGGGTAAAGTATCATCTTCCCTAATTAATATTTATATTAATTAATTTATATTAATTGAGATTAATGTATGTTAATTGATTATTGAATCACATGAACCTTTATGTTCGATTATGTGTTTATGTGAATCGTTCGTTCAACATGTTAATTATTTGATTTAATTTCGCGAGCATGCTATGATGATTTAATTTATTTCATTTAAATTAATTATATATGCGAGCATGTTTGTCGGTGATTGGAACCGAAAAGGTACGCAATTAATTGTAATTATTGTGCACGTGTTTGTTTATATAAATAAGTTTATAGAAATTAAACAATTGAGTACGTGTTTATTGCTTTCGATTGCATGTGAATAGTTTATTGAATTGATTGAATTGGTGAAATTGGAATTGGGTTGGTATAATTTTAATTTAATTTTAAAATTGGATTTGATCGATTTTAAAATTGGAATTAGAAAATTGGATTTGATTTTAAGATTGGATTTGATCGATTTTAAAATTGAAATTAGAAAATTGGATTTAATTTTTAAAATTTGATTTGATCATTTTTGAAATTGGAATTAGAAAATTGGATTTTGGTTTTAAAATTGGATTTGGATCGATTTTCAAATTGGAATTGGAAACTGGATTTAAAATTAAAATTGGATTTGAGTTTTAAATTTCAAAATGATTTTCTGAAAACTATCCGGGCCGGACAACTCGGTCATGTCGGTCCAAGCGGTCTGGCCGGCTCTAACCGGTTCAGACAGGAGGAAATAAATAAATAAATAATTCTTTTTTCAGAAATTAAAATTAAATCAAAATTGATCTTTAATTTTCTCAAATTATATATCAATTAAAGCCCAATTCAAATATTCGATCTATTAATCAGTAATGTTCAATAAATGATTGTTTGATTAATTAATTAATTAATTTCATTAATAGAACACATGTATAATGGTGATTATACATCAACCTAATTAATTGTACCTTAATCTTATTTGATTGATTTATTTTGATTAAGGTCCTTTAATTATTTTGAAACAAATCCTCATAATTAATTATTGTAATTAATTATAATTTAGGTCGAATGTTACTCTTAGGACAATATGCGTTTTCATATACCTTTAGAGAACATCGTTTTAGGAATCCAATCGACATGTCCAATAATTTTGATGAGATAACAATAAAACAATAATAAATCCCTCATTCTTAATTTATTAAGAATTACTCAAAAAAAAAAAATTATTAAGAATTATTTCAAGCTATAAAGAAAAACCAATCTGTTGAATTTTTCTTTCCTTCTACCAACGGTTAAATTATATGTAGCCCCTTGCAATAGTGCAGTAAGCCGTGTTAGCGGGGAGTGCTATAGTAGGGTCACCTGTAATTTAATTGACATAATGATGAAGATAGCCATAGAAAGGGTTATGCTAGATTAACGTGGTCGGCTAGATTAACTAGTTTGGTATAATCAGTTCTATGAGCATCTTTGATTGGTAGGTTATACTTGACACACGAAGATTTTGAATTCGCAAGATTAACTTAGGTCATTATCAAGTGTGAGGAAAATATATCTTTACGGTCATATAACGATATGATTGATGGAGATCTACCTTTGGACAAATGTAATTGTT